TGATTGGACTGTGAGAAATTTTTTTTTTAAATATATACATATATACATAACAAGCATTTATATACATTATTTTATTATTACTAACCTTAAATTACATGTACATAAATTATGTGATAAATAGAAAGTCATTGAATGATTTGTTTTTTACTAAACATTGAAAATACATTTTGATGCCATAAGAGCATACAATGTTAGAATTCATATATACATAATACATATGTACAATTTATTTCAAGATCAAAAGCCACTTAAGTATACAATGCCATTTTATAATTTTATCAAATGGAAAATCTATAAATGTTGTATACTCGTATCAGAAATTATTCTTTCTATAATTTTTACCTTTACCTATATTTTACGAGCATATTCATTTCATAAATTACAATTTAACAATTTTCAATAATTTTCAATAATTTTTCTATCTATTTTAATTTTCACACATATTTTATATTATAACACAAGCTATATACTATTTATATTGTATATATATACACAATAATTATGATATTACAAAGAAAGGTTTAAATAAAGTGCTCTTTAAATATTTTAATAAACAAAAAAAGGATCTTATAATTTTATTTTTAAATAACATTATAGAATATTAAAATAGTATTAAATGAAGGATTTTATAATAAGATTGTAATATACTTACATATACTTATACTGGTATGTGTATGTGTGTATGTAATATTACTTTTATACAGAAAATGGGAATTAATATTGAAACTATTATAAATGTGTAATTGAAATTGAAAATATGAAAAAAATTCAAAATATCCTAATTGAAAATTTTTGTTAGAATCGTACACATATAGGTACACACATGCATATTATTTAGAATAAAAGCGGTATAATGTTTGCTAATTAAAATTTGCATATGACATGCTGTTTTTTCTTCTATACAATCAATTTAAAATAGAAATTATGTCGCATAATGTAAATAATTGAAACAATTAAAAAGTTAATTAGCTTTTTTTTTCAAAAGATTTATTTATTTTATTAAAAAAAAAAAACTAATGAAAACTAAATAAAATAATAGAAGTAGTTTAAAAAAAATAAAATAAAAAAATTGCATATTTATAGGGGTAATTATATGAAATTTTTAAATCACTTTAATTTTTAATAATAATAAAGTGCAATGTAATTTAAATTTTTTGGATTTTTGTAGTTTTTACAAATAATTATAAAATTATGTGAATGCACTTAATTTTCATTGACCGCATCGCATACAACAAGGCATTAAATTTCATATGACGAGTTTTCGGCGAGAAAATGTTTTTCTCTATTCTAGGGAAGATTATTGTCTATCGGCCTGTCTTTCTGTCTGTCTGTTTGTCACTTTGTCTGCAGATCGGTATTTCAAATTCGGCTGAATCGATTATTAGTTTTTTATAGAGGATGAGATGGTTTGATCAACTTTTGGTCTTATCAAATGTAAGGTCCCTTGAAATGATTCTTTACTACCAGCCGATTTTACGTTTTTGACTATACCTAAGAAAATAATTAATCAATTTCCTTGGCATTTAGTATATGAATTGAAGGCGTTAAAATAAAGAAATTGTAAAATTTTTAGGAGTACCAGGGCACGGAAACCTAGCAAAGTATCGAATTTATAGTACTAGTACTACTAAGATATTAATTGGCAGAACCTTTTTGAAATTTAATATTTGAGCTCTGTTTGCTATCAGAAGTAACTACCGAATTTTTCATGGATTTCCAGATTAAATTTAAATGTATTCCATTTGTTTATCCGTATTGATGATTCTGGTTAGTTGAAAGAGCGAAATAATCTGTAGTTGGAATTCAATTTAAAACTTTTCTTCCTCTTAAAATTATAAATTATTTTGAATTCTAAATATGGGAACCACAAAGTAGTATAAAATATTCTCCAGTAGTTTTTAAATCACAATCACTCTGTCAATTAAGATAAATGATGTTATTTATTGTATACATATTTACAATACAAGTATTTACAGTTATTTAGTTATTTTATTTTTTTATTTTTAACGTTAACCAAAAATATTCATTCATGTTTTTTACATTAGTTGCCAATTTCAATTCGTTAAGTGTGAAATGCATTTTTCTTGCTTATATATATTTGTTATATATATAACAACTTATATATATTTGTTATATATATATTTATATATATAACAAAAGCATGAGAAGAAATAAATTAAAATTAGAACGAATGAAAATAAATGTATTATGTTTGTGTAGAAGTATACATATATAAAATAATATTCAAGGATAAGTAATTATAAAAATGAAAGATTTCGTCCTTCAAAATGATATTGGATAAACAATTATTATTATTTTTTTTTTTTTTTGTTGTTTAAAATGAATGAGAAAAGAAATCTTTTCTTTTGAATTTTTAAAATTATATTTTTTAGGAAAAAATAGAAATGAAATGCATAACATTGTTCTATAAATTATTAATTCTAAAAATTGAGAATTTTACAAGAACACATACATTATATTTGTCTGATGTCTATTATATAGGCATCATCAAGTATAAGTACCTGAATCCGGTACTGTAATTTTTAATAATAAACAATAGATGAATGCAAATATTTTATGTGTTTACTTTTTAAAGCATGCCCCATCCCTAACAAATTTAGTGATAATAGATAACTAGAAAAGTAAAAATAAATCCTAATATGAAGAGAATGTAGTCATTACTAAAATCTCTAAAATTTTATCATTGATTTTTTAATTAAATGCCGAGGCCTTGCGACTGATAGTGAAGAAGGTTTGGACAAAAAGTCTGAAACGAACAGGACCTTTCGAGATAGCTTAAGGTGTTGTGATAGCACTTTCATGCCTTCCTTCATGGAATCTAGATTGATTATTTTTGGGAGTTTATGACCATTCAGGTGCATTTTAGATTGGATAAAAGTTTCCTACTATTGATAGGTCTGGTAACATTTTGGGTCGCCTATATTTTTCTTTCGATAATTTTTAACACCTGTATTAAAAAAAATTCACTTTTTAATTCCAATGATTTCATTTGTTTTCCAAAACACAAAAATTATTAGTTATGAGATGAGAAAGTAAATACCTTTATAGAACAATTTAAGGCACGTATACTGTTAGAGTCAGCATAACTACCCGAAATATTGAGAAATCTAATGCTAAATTTACAAAAGGAAGAAAACCATATTAAAATAAAGTGATTTTTTAATTTAAACATTTTCACTTTTCAACGAGCAACAAAAAAAAACAAAAAACAATGAATTTCATTTAAAAGTTTGTAAAAGTTGTAAAAATTTTTTTGTACAAGAATTTTCAATTTCTTTTATTGATTAATTAATTATGTTTTTAGATTTTATTCTAATTGGTAATTTTTTGTCAGCCCATCCAATTATCAGTCAAAAATAAAAATTGAAAACACCATGAAGAGGTGGGTTTAAAGTTGCAAACAAATTAAAAGCAAAATTATTATTGAGGTATCGGTTCGTTGGTAAAATCGGTTAATTGTAAAAATTTTAGTTAAAAACTGATCTCCTGAACTGTTCAAAAATTACAGTTATTTTATTATACAATTTTAGCTTATAGGCTATTGCGTGAACAGTAAAAAAATTTTAACGAATTTTTTTCAAAACAATTTTGTGTGTAATTTAAAAAAAAAAAAAAAAGAAAAGAAAAACGTACCAGTTAAATAAATAAAAGTTTGTAAAAGTTCCCCAACACGCGTTGTACGATTTACACGACAAAAAAAACAAAAGAACAAAGAGAAAATACATACTAAATATATTGCGTGCTTTTAATACGTACACACACATTTATGAATATGTACATAAAATATAGATGCATACATATGTGTACAAGAAATATGGTGAATATGGTGAAAGTCAAGTTGAAAATTATAAGGAAACTTACTTGCCAAATTTTTGTTTTTTAAAGTTTGTTTCAAGCAGAAAGCAACTAGAACAGCAGACAACGAGAACGTCGCAATAAAAAATTTTTTTTGAATTTCAAAAATAAATTTTTTCTTTTCTCTTGCTTTAAGTTTTGAACGTCACATTTAAGACTCACTTTATAAATTTTTAATGCTTTTTTTGAATTCTGATTTTTTTTTTTTGTTGTTTTATTAATAATTCGTTTTGCAAATAAATGGCAGATGTTAGAAATCGTTAAGAAATTATTTTACCCTTTTGATTAAGACAAAAAATTTTAATACTAACATACTAAAGTGTTCGAGACTTGTGCATAATATTATTGTGCATTTTTTCATATTTAAGTGACATTTCATTGCTATCAATGAATTTTTTTGCAGAGTCGAAATTTTTAACAATATTATTTAAGGATTCTTTTAAAAATTTTAAATATTATTAACCCCGAAAATTAATATAAAAATTGATTTGTCGGTAAAATTTGTTAAAATTTTTCTTAAACTTTCATTTTATTTTTTCAACTCTTATATAAATTTTGTATCAACATTATATTACACATTGTCATAAGGATAATCTTAAAGGATATAATAAATATTCATTTTATTTTCTTTAATATTGAATCAATATACATATACATAAATAAGTAACAATGTTATTCTGATGATTATTTAATGTTATGATAAAAATGTTTAAAATTAGAATTATTATTGATTAGATAAACGTTGTGAAAAGAAAATGTTAAAAAATTTTATCATATTACGAGAATTTTTTTCAAATTGAATGTTTAAGCTATTAATCACCCCTTAAATGTGAATACAATTTTTGTTTTTTTAGAATTTGTCCTTTAATTTATTGATTTTGCAAATTTTTCCCTCACAGAATTTATTTGATTTTTATGTTAGAACTAAGACATGATTTAAGGGCAATACTGAATAGTATAATAATTTTATAATTCTTATCAAATCCTATTGTGTGGAAACTGGTGTCAAGGTTTTTCAAAAGCTTATAGTAATTTGTGCTCGTTTATTAATTAATACAATAGATTTTTGTCCGAATATTTAAAATATTTTAATATTAATAATAATTTTTTCTTTTTCTTTTCAGGCAAAATTGTGGAAGAAGAATTCGGATTTTCACTTCTAGAACAATAGAATCAATATGACCAAATTCATTTTATGCATTTTTATTAATTTTATAAAAAATAAATTTAGATCAAATTTAAATATGTAAAATTATTTTAAATGTTAAATACAAAGAAAGAATTAAATAAAACTATAATATTATTATATTTTAGAAATTCAAAAACATGTAAGAAAAAAATTTATATAAAATAAAATTCACCAATTACCCGCCAATATAATGGCGGGTAAAAATAATGGTGACCTTTAAATAATATATAAATAAATAATTATTATTCTCATTGTAAACTAAAAATCTCAACAAAATAAAAACAAAAAAAATTAATATAAAAATTAATATCAAACTAACTAATATAAGGAAATGTTCTTGAACTTTTTTTAAAAATAATGGAGGAAATTCTTCAAAAATCAATAACAACCACCACCACTAATTCTAGTCTTTTATTATCATCTGTTATAATTGATAATTCAAATATTGTTAATAATAATAGTATAGATATAATAATAAATAATAATAATAATAATAGTTACTATTATGATTGGCCAACAAAATGTATTAATTTAACTAATACAAATAATAATAATAATAATAATAATTGTCGTCAAATCGATTATAATGAATATTATAATAGTAAAGGTTATATTAATCAAATAAAATATATAAATGTTACAAATGATAGTAATATAAATGATGATAATTATTGGCATGAAAAAAGTCAAAATAATTATTGGGCATTATTAGCATTAATATTAGTTTTTGGTACAGCTGCTGGTAATATATTAGTATGTTTGGCAATTGGATGGGAGAGACGTTTACAAAATGTTACAAATTATTTTTTAATGTCATTAGCTATAACTGATTTAATGGTTGCAATATTAGTTATGCCATTGGGTATATTAACACTTTTTGTTGGTAAGTATTATATTAAAACTTTGTTTTTAATTAATTAAAATTTTTAATGCTTATATGCATATAATAATAATTATGACCATAATTTTTGAAAATATTTATAATTTTATTAAAATAAATCAAGCAATGAGATTTCGGTTGTTAGATCTTGTACTGTAATGGTTTTTTTTTTTTGATATTAAGAATTTAGCGTAGAACAGAAAATATCCTGTTCAGGAAATTTTAATTAACCGGGAATACTCGTATTTTGGGTGATACAAATTTGGTTTATTATAAAGAATGTATATACACATACGAGTATAATAAATAAATTGAAGATTGAATACCAATAGAAATAATGCCAAATTTTGATCATCTTTAATTTCAGAGAAGTTTAAAAAATTAACTTGAGGTTGGAAATTATTAGCTACTAATTTAAATTTATTCCTATAGCATGAATAAATCTTGAATAAAAAATTTCATTGCTGTTATCCTACGTAATATATTTAAATATTGGTAATATTTTTAATAAGCTAGTATTCGAAATGAAATTATTATTTCATTTTTAAATTATTCATAATTTTTTTTTTTATAGAAAAATCAAAGACTATGAAATGTATTATAGGTTTATATTATTTTACAACACAATAAACTATAATATTTCTATGTATTATATAAGGCATATACAAATAATGTAGATATTAACTTACTATATAAAAATCTTTTATAAAAATTTCAATGAAAATTTATGCAATTTTCACTCTTATATCATATATTTTTAGTACCTATTTCATAAATAATATTGTATTTTTGAGTAAATTTTCCCATATAGCACAATGATTATTTATTATGAGGTACAAATATCAGGGTTGGTAATAGAAATTTTCTATTTATAGGGGCTTAATACAAAAATTTATTGAAATATAAATTTTAAAATTGAAAATAATAGAAAAATACTAAACAACAAATAAAATATATATAAATAAGTGAACCTTTAACAAACGGTCAAATTTGCAAAGCTTTTTAAAAATATTTATGTAATATTCCTTAAATTTTTTCCTACTTCTTGGTATCTTTTTCGAGACCAGAAATATCCGAAATATTTGCAGTAAATTTCAATATTTGCAGAATTGTGTCAATATTTTCAATATTTACAAGGTTTGGAAGAGTTACTTGATTTGGCGCATAGAATATATATTTTATTAACGATTGGAAATTTAAACCAAATAGAGACCTAGTTTAGACAAATATATTTGTATATATACGGTGTTGCTAATTGTCGTGCATTAACATATGTAATCACCGTGTAGATCTTCTTTAGTAAGGAAACAAATAATTCTAAAATTGGTCTCTTTCGTAATTGTTTTAAGATATTGGGATTTTAAAAAAAATTTTTATTTTTTTCTGACTTTATTAAAAGTAGGTTATAACTTTGGCATGTGTTAGGGATTTCTTTTAGATATGTGTTAGAAAGCCGATTTGATAGGCTATAAAACACCGTGCACATAAAAAGAGAGTTTGTGAAGCTTTATGAACTACCAAAAAATATCATTGAAAATACAAAGCCTAAATTCGTATGTCTAAGACTAGTCCTGACAAGTACATTTTTATGTGATTACTCATACATAAAAAATATTGTTATATCAATATTTGAATAAAAGAACAAAAAAAAAAAAATTTTTTTTGTTTAAAAAATTTACGAAATTTTTAGAAAAGTTTAAATTTACCCCCCATTGTTTAAATCTGAATTTCCATCACAATGATTTGTTATTTTAAGAAAATTGTATACCGTAATACATGTTACGTATTAACATACACACATATTATGTAAAAAATTGTTTTATACCATATATAATCTAATTGTAGATTTTTTCTGAGTATATTATAGAAGATCTGTTATTTATCCTTTTTCTTTTTTAATTTTTTTGTTTGTAAATTTTTGAATATTTTCTTGGAATAATTTACTTTCTATTTTCTTTCACATAAAATACATAATATCACAATATAACAATAAATACATAATATATAAAATGTAGATAAATACAGTATACATATACCTATTATTTATATTTAACGTAAAATGTATACTTACATAAAAATAGCAAAAAATTAAAAATAATATAAATAACGGTTAAAATGAAGGTTTAGGGTATACCTATTCAAAAGAAAATTAAATAATAAAAATAAAAGGAAAAGTAAATTTTTGAAGTACACACAAATTTAAGGATATTCAATAGAAATAACAAAAACAAATAGAAATTAATAAGAAAAAGAACTAAAAAAAATCGTTGTTTGCACATGTGTTTACATATTGTATATAAATATAATTCATGTATATGTACACGTACTCGTATACACTCTAATAAAATAAATTATTTGCATTATATAATGATATCGAAAATGCAGAATAAGCAATAATGGTTGTCTCATAAATAATAGGAAATAAACCTGATATAACACATTTTCAAAAAATTAAACAATGGCAACACTAGATGCATTCTTCTATTTATTAACTACATGTACAGGTAAACTATACTACAGTATATCATATGGAATTTATTACGTTTAAATAAGCAGTTTATGCATTTATTAAAAGAGCACTGACTCAAATTATAAATTACAACAGTTTTCTCCTGGAACTAAATATAATTAACACAAACTGGGGTCCTTAAAAATTAATATATTTTATTATAATTGAAAACAAGCTAGTTAATTAGTTTCATTGATTGTTCATAACATTTTTTTGGTTACTATTAATATGACATCGTTATTTAACTACAATTTTTTTTAATATAATTTTCTTACTTGATTTTAAATATCGAATACAATTCTGAAAATTTATTGTCACTTATGCTTATATACATTTATATAGATTAGTGTCCGACTATCTGACTATAACGTATAAGATTTTCAGTTTTGTAATATTTACTTATATTTTATACAATATTTTCATAAATATTTTGCAGTTAATTTACAATATAAGATTTGATGATTGTATAACAGTTATAGTACGCATTACAATATTTCATTGTTATTATCAATAAAAATCAAGAACGTCCAAGATTGTATATAACACTTATAATACAAGATTTTATAAATGCACACATGATTGTATAACACTTATAGCATGTATTACAATATTTCATTGTTATTATCAATCAAAATCAAGTAAGTTCAAGTTCGTATATAAGATTCATAATATAAGATTCATAATACAAGATTTTATAAATGCACACATGATTGTATAACAATTATAGTACGCATTACAATATTTCATTGTTGTTATCAATAAAAATCAAGAACGTCCAAGATCATATATAACACTCATAATACAGGATTTTATAAATGCACACATGATTGTATAACACTTATAGCATGTATTACAATATTTCATTGTTATTATCAATCAAAATCAAGTAAGTTCAAGTTCGTATATAAGATTCATAATATAAGATTCATAATACAAGATTTTATAAATGCACACATGATTGTATAACAATTATAGTACGCATTACAATATTTCATTGTTGTTATCAATAAAAATCAAGAACGTCCAAGATCGTATATAACACTCATAATACAGGATTTTATAAATGCACACATGATTGTATAACACTTATAGCATGTATTACAATATTTCATTGTTATTATCAATCAAAATCAAGTAAGTTCAAGTTCGTATATAAGATTCATAATATAAGATTCATAATACAAGATTTTATAAATGCACACATGATTGTATAACAGTTATAGTACGCATTACAATATTTCATTGTTATTAACAATAAAAATCAAGAACGTCGAAGATCATATATAACACTCATAATACAAGATTTTATAAATGCATACATGATTGTATAACAGTTATAGTATGTATTACAATATTTCATTGTTATTAACAATAAAAATCAAGTAAGTCCAAGATCGTATATATTATGTAAAAAGAAGAGATGTGTAAAGGATCGACAGATTGTATAAAAAGAAAAAGGATAAATAAATATTCAAAGAAAATAAAGAAGGATAATAATATTAAAAGAAGTACAAAAAAAAGGATAAAAAGATGGTGGAATAATATTTATTTGATTTTTATTTTTAACCATTTTATTTTCTGTTTTTCTTTCTTATTTTTCTTGTCTGTTCATTTCTCTTCATTTTAATTTTTCCTTTTCTCATATTCCTTTATTATTTTGCAGTAAACAATAATAATTTATATACCTACTCACTCATATAGGACAAAACAAATAAAAAAGAAAAAAATCCTTTTCTTTTTTCTGTTTACTTAATTTTTTTTTTCTTTTTGTATTTTCCAATGAACAAGAAAAAGAAAATAAAAAAATTCAGAAAACCCATGACTGCACTTATCACGTATTACCCAGCAGGGACAACACATTGAATCCTTTTTCCTTTTGCTCGATTATTTTCTTTTCTATTTCTTTTCTTGTTGTTCCGAATTTGTATTAGAAAGTTTTTAATTTTTCCCTTCGCTTATAATCATTTTAATATTTTAAAAATAGTTTTTTTTTTTTTTTCTGTTTCTTTGAATTAAAATTTTCCATGTTGTTATAATAGTATTAATACTGTATTGTGGAAACAACAATGGACAGGAATTTCCTATTGCGTATAAGATAATAATAAATATTTCGCTATATGGTTGATAGCTTTCAGTAGTGATTTATTTATATTAAAATATTAATAGAGTTCACTTACCTATCAAAAATTATTAGAATAGAGTTCCTACATTAAATATGGTACTTAAGTCTTTTAAATCTTTTGAGTATTGCGATTCTGAATTTGACTAAAATTCGGAATAACCATTAAAAAAATATAAAAATCGTTGTCTTGTTCCTTAACAAAACTATTAACACTCATATATAAAATGGAGCTGGGATGCCTTACTAGTGTATGATCGAATATGTTAACGAATATCTAACAGATTTGTAAATCTCAAATATTGCTCCAAAGGGGTTATTTAAATCAAATATTATGTATACATAAGATTTGAAAAAAATTTGGTAATTATTTTC